TGTCTTTTATGCCTGATACCTGACCCTTTCGCCGCCTTGTCATCTTACAGGCTGGTGTGCTTCTTCCATGTGGGCTTTGTTATTTCTCAGTTAGATGGCCCCTTGTTTATCTTCCAGCATGTAGGACCCCAGATTGTGTGTAATTTGACAGCTTGGCACCATCAGCTTTATGAAGCGGTATATCAACCTAGGTCATTCAAGGCATAGAACTAAAATCCTGTATTCTTTTCATTGTACAACACAATCTTTTCTCTAAATAAAGTCTTAATTACACCATTACCAATATATCTTGTATCTAATGTCACATTGGGCAGGAAGATCAGCCAGCTTATTCAATGACTCAATTAAAACTTCGGCTGGAGCCACTACCCCATTTGCTCAAGGTCACACATATTCCTAGGCAGAATAAGATATAAAAGAACCCACATCTTTTAAATTTTAATCCCACCTGTGTTCATTCTTTAGACGGCCGCAAGGGAATGTGAGTCAGGCTGGGGCGTGGTGATTATCAGTTGGGTCTTCCTTGCTTTAAAGTTCCTAGGCTTGCAGCTAAGAAAGTCGGTCTTTTGGCAGAAAAGAACCAGGCTTTGGCAATGATGGATTTGGGATCATGTCCGCATGATCTTGGGAGCCTCCTTTTGTATTTGTGGTTTCATAGACACTTCTGGGGGTGGGGTGGGGTTGGGGATCAAGAATGAGAGTCTCCATTTCAGTCTTGGACTGTTTTGACTTTTTTTTCTTTTCTGGAGAACTTGTTCTGCCTTCTGCTTCAATCTATAGGAGGGTCTTCACTTTTTTTCTCCCCTCAACCTTGTTTGTGTTCCCCACACCAGGCCAGGACCCACCCCTAGGATCAGTTACTAATGACCAGTGACTGGGGTGATTCACCTTCCCTACTCAGCTTGGTAAAGACCTTGTGAGTTATTTTGAAAATCTAACCAGAAGAGGCTTGGAAAGTTTGAGCCAAGTGAATTGAATTGCCCCCATCAAGCAGAGGGAAACAATTTCCTCATTAGTTGAGATAAATCCTCGCATGGGCTCACAGAACATTATAAAACAAATATATCCATAGCTGGCATTTAGACCCAGGACATCTATATCCCGGAAAGATACATTACATTTGTTGGTTTTGCTTCAACAGGTGTTTCAATCCCACCAATTAGTTCCTGTGTGCTTGGCAAATTGGGAAATGATGCGAGTAAAGCGGAAGAATGCAAAAGGGATTGAGATGGAAGGGATAGAAATAGAAGCGAAGAAGCAAAGGAGAAAGCCCTTGCCTGGACTGTTGCATAGGTAGGTGTCTTTTGCATTCTACTGTAAGAAAATGTGAGTACCTCCACCTGGGCCTCCCTCCCCACAGTTCTCAGTGTGGTAGGAACCACTTTCCCCTGTGCCTAGAGTGTTCAAGAGCCAACATTTTCACTCTCAGGCTTTGTTGTTGTTTGTGCCTTTAAGGAAAAAATATTTTTGAAATAGTTGTACATTCTCAGGTAGTTGAAAGCAGTAATGCACAGGAAGCCTGTTCACTTTGCACTCAGTATCCCCTAATGGTAATATCCTGTATAACTGTAGTATGGTTCTGCACCCAGGAAATCAACACTGATGCCATCCAACCAAATTACTCAGACCATTCTCTTGTGTGCATGTATATTTAGTTCTATGCAGATTTATCACATGTAGACCTGCGTGGTGACCAAAACATTAAAGATACACAAAAGTTCTGGCTTAAAAAAAGTTTACCTTTCTTTCTCAACTGGTGGTGGTAGTGGTGTTAGTTGCCATGGTGTGGATTCCATGCCATGTTGATCCCATGTTCAGAGTAGAACTGTACTCCAAAAGATTTTCAAGGCAAATAACCTGGCCTTACATTTGAGTTGGAACTGCCAACCTTTCAGTTAAATCCAATGCTTAACCACTAGCACCAACCAGGGACTCTTCTAATAAATACATTAAAAAGCACTTGATTTCATGCATAAGCAAATGTGGCAAAGACAGCTAATGGTGCCTGGCCATCAAAAAATACAGTGTCTGGGGTCATAATGGCTTGAAGGTGAACAAGCGGCCATCTAGCTCAGAAGCAACAAAGCCCACATGGAAGAAGAACACCAGCCTGTGAGATCACAAGGTGTCAAAGGAATCAGGTTTCAGACATCATCAGAACAAAAAATCATATCATTGTGAATGAGGGGGAGTGTGGAGTGGAGACCCAAAGACCATCTGTAGGCAATTGGACATCCACTTACGGAAAGGTCGCAGGGAGGAGATAAGCCAGTCAGGATGCAGTGCAGCAATGATTAAACATACAGCTTTCCTCTAGTTCCTAAATGCTTCCTCCCCCCTACCACTATCATGATCCCAATGCTACCTTACAAATCTGACTAGACCAGAGGATGTACACTGGTACAGATAGGAACTGGAAACAGGGAATTAGAGCGGATGATGCCTTCATCAGGACTAGTGGCGATACCAGGAGGGTGGAGGGAGGGTGGAGTAGAAAGGGGGAACCGATTACAAGGATCTACGTATGACCTCCTCCCTGGGGGACGGACAACAGAAGAGTGGGTAAAGGGAGACAGTACAAGATATGACAAAATAATAACTTATAAGATATCAAGGATTCATGAGGGAGCGGGGAACAAGGAGGGAGGGGAAAAACGAGGAGCTGATGCCAGGGGCTTAAGTGGAGATCAAATGTTTTGAGAATGATGAGGGCAATGAATGTACAAATGTGCTTTACACAATTGATGTATGTATGGATTGTGATGAGTTGTATGAGCTCCCAATAAAATGATTAAAAATAAAAAGCACCCAATTTCATCAGAAGTTCACATTCAGAGCATAACACCAATGAGTGTTTATTCAAATGAAGCACTGACTCTATTATGTTTCTTTTCAGAATGTGTTTTCATGTAATTTCTTAGTACCTAAAACTTCATATAGATTATAATATTTATATTTACGCCCAAGCAATATAGACTCTCATCGAAATCATGAAGATTTTGAGAAATAGTAAATTTTGTCATATAAATACTTTAGAGACATACTATCACAGAATCAAAATATATACTCTCCTTTAAAAGTATGTATTTTTCTCTCTCTACTCTTTCAACCCTTTTAACAGTATCCAACCCTTAAAATTACTTAAATTAATAAAATACAATGGGCCACACCTTACCACCAAAGCATCAAATTCTTTATGGCATTTGTTCCAAGAATTATTGAAGAATAATAAAAATCTCTCTCTTTTTTTAAAGTACTATGAAGTACCATTCTGTTATTGTGCTATATTTCAGAATGACATTAATATAATTTCCAAGTATAAAAAACATATAATAGGTTACTAAAAGCAACTGAGTGACAAGTAAGCAGAAATGGAAAAGAATAAAATGTCATTATTTATTGAATGTCACTCATTTGGGTCAATAATGGTCCTGCAGGAGACATACATGGGAACAGTATTTACCTGGAAAGTGTCGTGAGAAACTTACCATCATTTTGGCTCTTGCCCTTCATCTCTTCCTTCCATGGCAGGATGGTGTTCAGAGGAACATAATCCCTCACATAATCTTTGCGACGCTCCTCTAAGGTCATCTTCAGCAAACGTTCTTGCAAAAATAAAAATAGACTCTCTATTTGTATTTAACTTTTAAACTCAGGAATTATTTTATACTTAAAATATTAACCATACTCAACAATGCAAAGAATTGATCTTGAAGAACACCAAATATAAATCTAATGAACTTCATATCTGAGTATATTTTTAAAGTATTATTAATTTTATGTTAGCAGGGAGAAAATGACCAAAGTTTGATAAGAAAGGCCTCTTGTGACAGTCTGAGAAATAAGTAAATACATTTTCTTTTGATTATTATGTATTGATAGTCTACCACCTGCCAGATGAAATATTTATCTGACATTGACACAAAAGTGATCGGTACCCACGGGGAGTTCACAACACCTCTTTTAGGCAAATTCTGATACAAAATAATTGCTACTTAAATACAATACAAAAGACTGGTGGTGTAACAGGTTATGAATTGGTCTGTTAACCCCAAAGTCAGCAGTTTGAAAGAGCCAGCAGCTCTGAGGGAGAAAGATGAGGCTTTCTACTCCCCAAAAGATTCAAAATCTCAGAAACTCACAGGGACAGTTCTACTGTGCCCTATGGGGTCACTCTAAGTCAGAATTAACTAAGTGGAAATGAATTTGGTTTTGGTAGTAAAATGCACAATGCTAAACAGGTATGTACAAAAACTAAAAGCACACAAAAAAGGCAGTCACAAAGATATTTCCTCAGTTTTACCATGGCACCAACAATAAAAGTACACTTTTAGCTTAATAGTTTCATGGAGATGGTATAAACATTACTTTAAATATAAACCAAAAACCTAAATCAATAGAATTTAGGCTGGAAACCCCTGTGTACAACTTGATTATAAAATTAAAATATAAAAAATACATTTCACAATAACAGTGAATGTCATTATAAAATGCCCTAGGTGGCACAAACAATTTGCAAAGGTTGGTGATTGGAATCTATCCAGCAGTGCTACAGAAACAAAGGTCTGGTCATCTGTTTCCATAAAGGTTACAGCCAAGAACACCCTTTGGAATAATTTTGCTCTGTAATGCATGGGTTGCTATAGTTAGAACTGACTTGATGGCAATGAATTTGATTTTGTTTTTTGGGTTTTTTGTCATTTATAAATAGGAATAAAACTAAAATGAGTAAATCCTAGTTAAAGACTCATAGGGAATGGCTATTTTAGGAAGAAACTTGAGCAGGCTGAGGAAAGATACCTGAAGATACTAAATAATAAAACATATTGTAGAGGAAATAAATATAGGCATAAAATATCAAAGAATACAGAAGATGGGATAAAGAACACAGAGCAGTTAACCTTAGAAAAATAGAAAAATCCTTCCTCTAACACATGAAAGGAAATGTAAAGAACTAGAGAGGGATATTTCTGTTAAATGGCATGTGTTTTTTCCCCCTATGAATTAAATAGCAATGCCAACTCAACAATAGGGAGACAAACAACAATCCAATTAAATAACAGGCAAAATTGAATATGCTCTTCCCCCCAATAAATATGCAAACAAGTAATAAGCACATGAAAAGCTGTTCAATAGGATTAGTTATTGTTAGCTGCCCGCAGACTAGGTAACTTTAATAGTTGGTATTCCCATGTACAAAAGATCAAGACGTTGCCAATCCTGTGCCATTCCCATGATCAATTGTGAATCAAATTGTTGTGATCCACAGGTTTTCATTCAAATTATCTGAAGTAAATTATCAAGTCATTTATTTCTAGTCTCACTTATTAAGGAAACTCTACTGAAGGCGGCTTTGCCACGCAGATGGGTGGTGATTGTACTTGAGTTGTACTAACCAGAAATCAAACTGAGATCTCCAGTATGGCAGACAAGAATTCTACCACTGAATCACCACTGCCTCACCCATTCATCACTAGGGAAATATAAATCAGAATGAGCTAATACTTCACACACCATTATATGAATGGCTGAATTTTTTTTCAAAAGCAGGGGTGGAGGGCAGGAGACCAACAACTGTTGGCAAGAAGGTGGAGAAACTGTAGAACTTTCATGCAGGGTTCCTGAGAATAGAATATGGTACAGGTGTTGTTTCAAAAGTTAAAGTTATGAAACCTATGACCCTGTACACCAAAGAACTGAAAGCAGGGACTCAGAGAGATACCTGTATACCAATGTTAATTACAGCACATTATCCACAATAGGCAAAGGATGGAAACACCCCAAGTGTACACGAACAAGTGAATAGATAAGCAAAATGTATATCCATGCAAACCAAAACCAAAATGAAACTTCCTCCCATCAAGTTAGTTTTGACCCTATAAGACAGATAAGAACTGCCCAGAGGATGTACTAGGCCATACATTTTACAAAAGCACACACAACAGCTTTCTCCAGCTGAGCAGCTAGTAGGTTCAAACAGTTGACCTTTCAGTTAGCAGTCAAGTCCTTTAGCCACTGTATCAATAGGGTTCCTATATTTACAATGGAATATTAGTCAGCCATAAAAATAAATTTCTGTGATGTGCTACAAAAAGGATGAGCCCCCCAAACTTTATGTTAAGTGAAATAAGCCAGACACACAAAAAACAAATGTTCCATGATCCCACTTGATGAAATAAATAGGCAAATGTATAGACAGAAGTAGTTTTGAAGGGAGTGAGGAGTTTGTTGCTTAATGGATACAGAGTTTCTATCTGGGATGATGACTGGATAACACTGTAAATATAATTAATGCTATGGAATTTCACAATTAAAATGGTAAAAATTGTGAGCTTATGCTAGGTACACACACACACATGTATGTATAACAAAAATGTAAAAGGCAATGTCATCTATTTAATATAGGAGGATAGGCTCTTTATGGATCAGGAAGCTTGAGAAAAGAATGGTGAAAGTATAGCATTATCACCTGATGGGAAAAAGGGAGATGACCAGCAGTTGTCAAGCACTGTTCGAAAAATTCAGAGCACTATTATGGAATTTGTATTTTCCTAACCAGACTGAAAGATACGATGAAGCAACTTAAAATTGTGTAAATGTCGGAAGGTACCTATAGAAATGCAATCTAGCCACTGCCATCCCATCTACAGTATTTAACAGTTTAAATGTGAACACTTAAAACAAAGTACAATAAATAGTAAGATGACAAAAAATAAGTTGCAAGTCTTGAAAATACATTATATAGTTTTGAATTAGTTTAAAATCCTAAATTAATAATATTTGTTTACCATGTGTGGAATTTAGAACTCTTCGGTTATTCATTTAAACAATGAAACCCACCAAAGTACACTGACAAAGATACAGCATCTTTGGCTCTATAAAACTTCCTTAAAGGATGTTACATCTTTGCAGTGAAAGTTTCTTCTGTAAACCAAGCATATATTAGCAGGTGTATTAGATGGTATACCTAAAGTGATGAACCATGGTGGCATAGTGGATTAAGCATTAGGATGCCAACAACAACCAAAAAAAGCGGTTCTATTCATGAGTCAGTCTGAAGGAGAAGGACGAGGTAGCCTGCTTCCATAAAGACTTATAGCCTCAAAATCATGACACTATCAATACACAGTGGTTACACATTAGGGTTCTAACTGCAAGGTCAGCAGTTTGGAATGACCAATCAGCTACACAGGATAAGGATGACAATTTCTACCCCAGTGAAAATTTGTAAGCTCCAAGACTCACAGAAACCGCTTTACCCTGTCTTATAGGGTCCATATGAGTCAGCTTTGAGTTGACGGCAGAGCAAGTGATGCCCCAGGTAGACAACTGATAATGTTCTCTAGCATAAAATGACAATGGTACCTGTAAGGTGAAACCATAGCTAAACCATAGATCCATGAATGGATATGAGGTTTGCACTTAACTCTAGACCTAATCTAAGAACAATTAGTTCTTATGGCATGGCCCTGCTTGATGCTCACTCTATTGAAGCGATCACTGAAGATATGGGTGCTATAGCAAAGTGTAGTGAAGAAACTAGATGGTGCCTAGTGATCTGAAGGAATAACATATAGGGGCTTCAAGCATGCAGCCATCTAAGTGAGGCATCAACTATGTCCACATGGCAGAAGCACACCAGCCTGTGGATAAAATTATCCAAATCTAAAAAAGGGAAAGACATCGGAGCTTCAACTGGGAACACCTGGTTTGCAAAAGACTATTGATGACAGTGAAAGTCGAAAACTCGATTTTAGGAATCACACATGGATTAAACTTCTGGTGAATACCCTTTGACCATAGTTGAGGGATGTGAATAACTCTGTTATCAGACAAAGAGCACTGTAAAGTCAATTATGGCAGACATAGGTCAAAATATAGTATCTTAATATTTGATCTCCCTTTTGACTGCTTTCATTTTAAAAAAGTGAAGGGGAAATACCCATGGGTTAAACACCTAGTGAATCCCCACTGACCATTGAACAGGGATGTGAATAACCTTGCTAACATGCAGAATGCACTAGAAAGTGGATTGCTACAGATTCAGTTAGGTTAACATTTATCACCCTATTATTTGATCTCCTTTCTGATCCATTGAAATTTGCTCCAGTTTTTAATATTTTCTGCTTTGTTTTCTATTAAGATTTTTATTTATTTTACTTTGTTATTCTAGTTAGGTTTTGTTTGGTTGGTTAGGTTTTCATCTTTTTCGGTATATGAAACCCAGGATAGATAAACCTCTAGAGACAGTAGCTGGATTAATGGTTCCTTAGAGGTATGGCTGGGGATGTTGGGAGAAGTGGGGAGCTAACAACAATGACTACAAGAATAAATGTTGTAAAACTGATTGTGGTGATGCTTGTGAAACTCTTCTTGATGCGACTGAACTATTGAATTGTATGATATGTAAATTATATATCATTAAAAGTGCTAAAAACCAGAGATTTATCGTCTCAGTATTTTTTTAACAATGCAAAGATGTCTCTGTGGGGACTGATGTGTGCCTAACTCAATTCATGATAATTTCAATGGATTCTTATGCAATTCCAAATTGAGTAATGAATAAGAAAAATTGAAGAGCTGATACATTTGAATTGTGGTGTTGATGAAGAATATATTGAATAGATCATGGATTGCCAGAAGACAAACAAATCTGTCTTGGAAGAAATACAGCCATAATGAAAATAGAAGTGAGGGTAGCGAATGCATTTCTCATGTATTTCAGACATATGTGGCATGGCTTGGAGGCCATGTCAGACCACCTTTGACAACACAATGGGGAAGGCAACTCTAACCTACATCAGCCTAAGGCCCAACCAACTTTCCGTGCGAAGGCACTCTACTTTTCTGATAGGTCTGTTATGTTATTACAGTGGCCACACAGAATTCACAGAAAATACTCATGGTTATTAGGTTTCTTAGGGAAGCAAAGTGTTTACAAAAAATGTTAAGAATCCAGTTGTTTTGTCCACAGTACTTCTTCTCAAACAGAAAAAATAAAATCATCATCCCTAAGGCTAACCTGATTTACTGGTTAAGTTAAACTACTGTGTCTTTAAAAAAATCAAAAATGGGATAATTCATTAATTTTTGAGAGAGAAGTGTCATCATGTGGCTAAGATTGTTGAAGATTTTTAATAATCTCTCTTGGCCCAACAGCTAACAAACCAAAAAGCAGATATCTAGAAATATGGCACCCAAAACATAATTGGATTATCTCACTGTTCATAGGTACCTGAAAATACGTCATATTATCATTATTTTCAAGTGGTATTTATAACAGCAGTTTTCTTTTTCTTTCTGAGGTTACTTTTTCAGGTATCAATTTGTCCTTAGATAATAACTAATTTTGGCACAATAAAAAAGTGACACAACTTCTTTTTCTTTTCCTCATAAGCCAGTGCTTTTCCAGAAGTGGAATAAATGTTGAGTTTGGGACTTCATATTATGGCTCAGCCAAGCATAAATTAGCTTGGTTGCTTGTAGAATGGTTGCTGGTTCAAACCCATCAGCCACTCTGAAAGAGAAAGATGTGACAGTCTAACCAGGAAGTTAGAAAGTTTTGTACAGATTTTCTCAATGCAATATATCAGTTGATTTCTTGACAGCAGCTTCCATGGGTGTTGACTGTTGATCCAAGTATAATGAAATAATAGACAACTTCAAGAAATTTGAGTTTACCAAGATATTGCTTATTAGTTCAATTGTGAAGATTCTTGTTTTATGTTGAGGTGTCATATTGAAAGCTGTAGCCTTTGATCTTCATTAGTAAATGCTTGCTTTCAGCAAGAAATATAGCAAGTGCCATAGTCAATGAAACAGGCAAACACCTTTCTAATATTCTCTGCTTTCAGCCAAGTCCACGTGACATCAGCAATAGTGTCCCTCATTCCATGTCCTATTTTGAATCCCGCTTGAATTTCTAGCAGTTCCCTGTCAGTGGACTGCTCCAACCAGTTTTGAATTATCTGAACCATTTTGTGCTCTTTGATTTTCACTACATTGAAACAGCAGTTTGGGCACCCTCCAGGGACTCAAATTGTGTTCCTTTTTAATTATATTTGAGTTTGGAGAACAAAAAATAAGTCTGAGGAGGGAAAATCAAACCTGCAGTGTGATGTGGTAAGGTTTCCCCAAAGTAAGGTTTCATAGTACAGTCCTTGCTAACCTTGAAGAATGAGCTATTGCACTAATGTAACAGAAAAAAAATTTTGGCACAACTGTTTTGTCCTTTCTTTCACCAATGCAATTTTCAATTTTCTTAAAACTTCTTCATAACAAGCAGAGTGATCATCCTGTGTCCCTCTGAAAAAATCAAGAATACCCTCTCAAATTCGAAAACACTGTCACTTAACCTTCTAAGTTGACTTCTCTGCTTTCAATTTAACTGGCCTAGCAGATCCCCCCAGAAATTAGTGTCTTGATTGGGCCTTTTCTTTGAAGATATCCCACTGATTGTAGTTATCTTAAAATGTTCCACTGATTATATAGAGTCATCTTAAAACATTAGGAGCCATATTTTTCACTTATCCTCATGTATCAAGATAACTGGTGGCACAGTGGTTATGTACGCAGCTGCTCACTGAAAGATTGGTAGTTTGAACCCATCAGCTATTCCATAGGAGAAAGATTTAACAGTCTGCTTCCCTAAAGATTTACTGCCTTGAAGAGCCCTATGGGGCAGTTTTATCTAGTAGGTCATTATTAGTTAGAATCTATTCAATAGAAGTGCATTTGAGTTTTGGGTTATTTTATATGTCAGGTTTCGTTATCAATGGCATTTGCTTTATGATACCATGATTTTCAGTGCTATATAGTCTTATAATCATCAAAATAATTTGTATGTGGCATTGTTCAGTTATATTATGTTAAATCTTTCCAAAGTTAATGACATAAATTCCTTTGCCAACTCTTTATTATGCTTTGTTTGAAGCAAACTAAAGCTAAACTCACAGCCATGTAGGTGATTTTGAGTCATAGCATCCCCATGTGACAGAGTAGAACTGCTCCACAGGCTTTCCAAAGCTTCATGAAAGCAGGCTGCCACCTTTTTCTCTGCAGAGAGCAGCTGGTTGATACAAGAGCCAAAGGTTACAAGTCAACATCTGATGCACTACACCACCAGGGTGCCTTTGCTGGCCTAAAAATCTACACTGTCATTGAATCTATTGCAACTCATGGTGACCCTATCAGGACAGAGTAGAACTGCTTCATAACGTTTCTAAAACTATAAATCTTTACAAAAGCAAAATACCCTATCCTTCTCCCTAAGTGTCTGGTGGGTTTACCATTCAGTAAGCTGCCAAATACTTTGAGCACTAAACCTTCAGGACTCCTTTTGTAGTCCTAATATATATATATATATGTGTGTGTGTGTGTGTGTGTATGTATAATATATATTGTATATGTAGTCCTAATATATATTATATATATTATATATTATAATTAGTACTAATATATAATATATCTCTATTTAAATAGATATATATTTACAGCAAAACATTATCAAGTTCACCCCAACTAATAGTGACCCTAAAGCACCGAGTAGACATGTCCCATAGGGTTTCCAAAGCTATAACTTTTAATGGAAGCAGACTGCCACATCTTCCTCTCTCCTGGCGGCTCTTCAGTTCTAACCTCACCTTTAAGTCAACAGGCAAGAAATTAACCACTAAATCATATGAATGCCTTAAGCCCTATATTATGACTATTTGCAAATAAACTCCCCTTCTTGCCACCACTGTGTGCCTCTTCTGTTTAGAAAGGCCAGGGCACTCAATTAAAGTCTATACTTTCAAAAGAGCTTTTATCAAGGAAATCAGTGTTCCACTCTTCATCCCTTCATCCTTCTTCTATAAAGATGAGGTACTGAGGAAAGTTTTATATTATCCGCACCTGATCTTAATCTTGATAGACAAGTTTATTGTATAGAAGCAATGCCTTTCACTACAAAAAAAGAGAAAGATTGCCAGAAATTTAAAGTTTACATCAAAATATGCTCACACTATGATGCAGGAGATGATAGATAGATAGATAGATAGATAGATAGATAGATAGATAGATAGATAGATAGATAGATAGATA